ACGAAGACTCTTCTTTTTTATAACCTATTGTGACCACGTAGTCGTGTTGTAAAAATTAACAGACCATAACATTTGTTATAAAGGATTTTCGTGTTAGTGTTGCCTGCTGTGCCGATTTCGCTTTCCCAGTTCATTGTCATTGATACTGATTGATTGCAAACATCGGGAGATACCAACATCGGATTCGTCTGCCCTGGTTCAACGACAATCGACGTCACTTCCGTACCATGGGTCACAAGGTACCGTTTCACTGGGGGGATTAAATAGTTTTTGAAATTCTGGATTATATTTATTTTCCCAAGCACAATCTTTTGTTAAGTGAGTCGTTCTAAGTATTAAGTACCTTCCACACCTTAGATTGATATAGCTATTATTTACATAAACCCGTAGGTAACCCATCTTTTGTACAAAAAAAGACGACATTCAACCCGTAAATTCTACCCCCAGATACCTTAACGAGGAAAGAACGTCAGTCAGGGATCGCCGGTACATACTGACCGTCAACAACACAACGTGAAGGCATAACCGCAGGGCCGACAAGGGTCTCAAACGGTGCACACGGGTGGAGTTGTGAGCTTTCTATGTTTGAGCGCTGCAATAGTTGTTTTTGCATGTAGTTTGTACCACCGCGATGCATCGGATGGTTGCGATTTTACCGAATGGAACCAAAACAGACCAGTTTTGACCAGGAAAGTTACCGTAATTTTGCTATTGTGCTACTACATCAATTAGGTATCCAATATATAGGTTACACGACACACGGGGAAAACTTTACAGACTAATTAGATATTCGTTATTTTGACGTTAAGGACAATTTTATCATCTCGTCGGTAAGGATAGCGAAACATCGCTCTAACTTACGCCGCTTCTGTTGGTAGAAAAAAAAAAATTGTACTCACACACCGCCACTGCTAAAGGGAAACTAAGATAACCGAGATATGCCCAGTCTATCTCTACAGTTATACAGTTTTAGAGCTTCTCCCCCCGGTCTCTATTCCTTTTAGGTGGGTTACCGGGGTCTTTCTCCAAAAAAAAACGATGTAGACAGATTTTTCCAGTTTATAGTGAAACAAAAACGTAGTAGAACTATGGATCCCATGAATAATATTACAACACGGGAACCTAAGGATTTCGGGAAAATCAGATGATTGGGTAGTAGGTTCAAATCAAAAAGTTGATATTCATCGTTGTATATAAAACCTGCCTGTGCATATTAAATATGTCAAAAAATGGTTTGTCTTCAGCCTGAGAAACCAGGCCACCGACACTTTGAGCCTTTTCCAGTCTGAGAAGTAAGTCATGAGCTGGTCTGTTGCATCAAGTGATTCATTGACTATGATATTAACCGAGGTATCTTTTCTGACTTCTGGGTCAACCAAATCCAATATGACATCACCGCCATAATATGTAGGCCATTCCTCTTCAGATTTTACAAGCAACGTGGGACCCTCAAGCCAACTGCGGCCCTTCAGAAAGTCAGGGATCTTCATTCCTCTGGATGCAGCATCAGCTGGGTTGTCTTTGGTTCCTACATGCTTCCATTGACATGGTGTTGAAACCTCTCTTATGGTTGTGATCCTATTTGCCATATATAGCATGTCAGAGTAGTGTGCCTTAACACGATTAGTTAAAGTTAGCTTAGTTTAATTAATGGTGGTGTAGAGGCTAAGCCAACGCTTTTAGCCTCTGAGGATCCGCTTTGTGGGTGTAATTGACGAACACAAAGTTTGCTGCCGAATAAAAGTCAGAAACAAAGTTTCCAGTTCGAAACAATCCATTTATTTCCATTTGTACTGGTTTCCATTTTTACTTTCTTCTTTCCATATTCACCACACGATATTACCGAAACTTTACACAATACCTTTGCTTTTCTTGTAATCCCGTTGTAATCTTATTTGGAGCAGGCGAGATTAGACTCTGACGTCGCTGTCAAGCGTTAGTGGCCGACTCCGCCTACTAAGGGCTTCTCGGCAACTCTGCAGAATCCTATGGGTGACGTCACTGACACTACGTCCATTTATACAGTCTATGGGTGGGCACCGTTAGATTCTGTGTCTTTACGATCATAAACTATGTGTTGGATATGCAGCTGATAAGTAATAAGGGAGCTAGGAGTGATTTTCGGTGCAGTAATAGGTTAGCATTTTCCCCTCGGGGCTAATTCAGAGGCTCACTGTTAGCATTGTGTGTTTTTTTTGAAAAAAGAAAATGAAAAAGATCAGTTAAGTGAGTTTTTTCCCGTTATATGGATATCAAATATTCATAGTTTATTAAATATTAAGGTTCCTTAGACGTTGTTTCCTGCAAATGACGTGATTTCGGCCCTGGAACCGGGTCCGTGGGGCTTAAGAGGTTTTTAATATGCAAACACACAAATGCAGGAGATGAGTGAGGATGTTACCTGTTGCTCGTGTGATTACAGCTGAGCAGAGAATCAGATCAGACGCTCTTATCCTGTTGTAATCTCACGGCCATTACGCCATGACCTTCAGCAGTTAGAGCATATTGGCTTGTGGATGCATGCGTGTTTGTTTATGTGTGTGTGTGTGTGTGTGTGTGTGTGTGTGTGTGTGTGTGTGTGTGTGTGTGTGTGTGTGTGTGTGTGTGTGTGTGTGTGTGTGTGTGTGTGTGTGTGTGTGTGTGTGTTGTCAAATCAGGGATACTGGCAGTCAACATTCCCAATGATGAGTGGAAAGTGTGTCAGCATGTGACTGTGCGACCTCTTGATTTGTGTCTCTCTACTCCAATTCACTGTTACACAATCGCCCTCCAACAAATGATCCGCTCCCAAAGGGGATTTTAGATCTGTTGTAATTTGTTGTAAATTTAATTTCAGTGCCCAATAATCACTGTACAAGCTGTTTAATCTGCCCAGCTGTGTGTGTGTCCAGATCCAGCTGTGCGTGTGTGTTTTGCCTTGATTTTGGTGGTCTGGAGATGAACTCTTCTCACTGTTGCCCCCGCAGGCCTGTGGGTGGAACTGCAGCTGGTTTACACCGGTGCACTGCAGATGACCCTGCAGACCAAGTTCAACCTGTCCAAGCTGGGGAAAGAGGGCGGTCATGATGCAGACTGTACGGAAGAAACTCGTAGCCCATGGTCAGCATTATAAACACTACAAACACAGAAACATACATTCTTGTTTTCATTACATTAGAGGACAATATTTTGACTTACATTAAATTTTCTGGGGACGTACCCTGTACTTCTACCTACCTTCGCCAAATGAAAACTTAAACCTCAACTTACCTTTATATAAAACTAAGTCTTTACCGTACATTTTATAATTTAGGTTGGGGAGAGTCCTCATCCGGTGAGTATGTAAACAGAGTAATGTCCCCACAACATTTGTTAAACAAGCCCGACCACATGATGGCTGTTCGAACTTTCCTCTTTTATATGCTTTTCTAAATACTTTAGAAACAGATTTGTAGTGTTTTCTGTGTGTTTCCTAATTAGTGTAAATCAATTTTTATAGAAAGAATGTTGGCTCTTGGCTTCCATTGTGTCAATGTCACTTTTTAATGTGAAAAAAAGGTTGATGCTTCAATGCATACCACAATTTTGTCCTCCATCCACCCGTTACTAACTTTTCTGTCTTCCCGTGCATCCTCCCAGCTGCAGGCCAATCTTCAGCGTGTTGGCAGACAGCGATGAGGAGTCCTCCAGCGCTGGGTCCTCTGATGAGGAAGAGCTGCTCCTATCAGAGCCTCAGTGCCCGGTGGGAGACAAGGGATCCACACCAGCTACTGATGGGTAACTGCCAAAATATAAAGTAGTGAATGTTGAAAGAAATACTGCCAATGTGTCATGGTTGAGAGCAGAGCAAGATGGACCCAAATGCAGGACAAATATCTTTAATTCCAGGTTGACAGCAGGCCAGTCAAAACTAAAATAAGAAAACTCTCCAACACACAGAAAACTGACCACTTCCACAAAAGACAAACAAGGATCCGACAACAACTGACGAAAACCAGAACTTGAATGCATGCAAGACTAATCACAAAGACAAGACACAGCTGGGGAGGGAAGGAAAAACGGAAGGGCACCAGGTGAACAGAATCAAACAGGAGGGAAAACACAGAAGAGGTTTCTCAATACTCAAATTTCCCCTCCTCGACTCCTATCCTCGACTCCTATCCTCGAGACGCCCACAGGAGATGCGAGCGGAGGACTGAGGAGGGGAATCAAGGAGAGAGGAGGGGAAGCAGCAGGCGGTTAGAGAAATGAGAACTCCTCTCCTCTGAGCGGTCATTTTAAAGAGACGTCCATTAATGATGACAGGAGGCACAGCAGCACTCAGCTGTCTGATGGACGGATGTGTTCATGATGACTTATATATTTACTTTTAATTAATTCACAGTGTGGTATAATGAGACAATAACAGGCTACAGATGCGGACATATACACACACATATAAATATATGCAATTTCAGAATCAAACAAGTATGAGAGCACTCTCATAATAACGTAACACAATCAGAGACTGGATATATCCCCAACTCTCTCTGGTCGCTGAAATGGGGAATTGAAATTACGGGCCAAAAGTTGTACAAGTATTAAAAGTAAGCATAGGACACCAAACCGCATCTACGCACTGTACAACACACACACCTACACACTGTACCACACACACCTACAGCTCCTAAAGCATAATCTTTGTGTATTTTANGTTGGATGTAGAAAAGTCAGAATCAATATAGATGTTTTTTATTTTAAAGAAAATTCAGATTGAACATGGTAAAAAACTTTAAATTATAGTGTCCGTCATAAACATATGACGGACACTATAATTTAAAGTTTTTTACCATGTTCAATCTGAATTTTCTTTAAAATAAAAAACATCTATATTGATTCTGACTTTTCTACATCCAACCCACAGGTTTATCATTACTTTGAGAAAAAAGATTATTAATTTAACCCTTTTAGAAGGGAAGATATGGTCATTTGTTCTGGGAATGTCATTTTCGAGCCTGAAACCTGAAAAACAGGCTTGGGGCTTAAGAGGTATTTGTATGCTGTTTGCACTCACCTCTGTGGTTGACTTCTGGTCTGGAGGTAGCGGTGATTTGGGGCAGAGAGCTGCCCATATCCAGCTCAGTCAGAGTCAACTCATTCATAAAGTAAGGCAGCTGTAAAGGATGAAAAATATCATAATATTAAAATTCATCATATTATTAACTCGGGGTATAGTGTAACAATTGAGCCTATACTTTTAGAATAAAGTGTGGTATTGATAATGATCTCTACTTTATCTAATAGTAAAACAAGAAATCAGTTATCATTTCATTAATACATTAGTTATAATTTACAAGTATTTATAGCTCTCTTTAATTTGCATTTGCATTATTTGTCTTTTTATAAAAAATATTTTTGCATGACTTTTTCTTTTGTTTTCTATTGTTATTATTGTTTACCATTTTAGAAAAGTGAGTTATCAGTCAGGCTATCTCTTTCATCTAAAGAGGTATTTAACTATGTGTACTTATTTACCTGTCCAAACATGGGTAATTTAAATTTTAAAACGTAACTACTGATCCTAGTATGCCCTTAAATGTAATTGCCACATTAGCTTTAAATAAAACCGCTCTCACTCTGATTTTGCTCAGCTTCTTCTGGATCTTGCAGGAAACCACGTCGGCCCAGTGCGTCTCTCGCAGGAAGTCCCAGAAGATTCGACCAATTAGAGCGTTGGCCCACGCAGTCTGGCTTGTCCCAGGATGCTCTGCTAAATCACAGGTACACTGCAAGAAAAGACACCTGAGTGAGAGCTTAGCAAAGACAAGAAAAGTGCAGGTTTAGTACAATTTACTTCTAGGAAAATGCATTTGTAAACTAGTCATTTCTATTTTTCTGTATCACTTTACTCTCTGCAGATTTAATATAACATGTCCACTGTCCAGCTCAAGAATGTCCCCACAGCTTCACTCCATTTGCTTCACTTAATCGTATCTGCTAGCATGACTGCTTACATTCCCTTTGATGGTGGTGGGGCTCGGTTCTGCACTGCTGCTGGCTCCAGGACTGGAAAGGGGCGTGAACTCCTCCGTTGCCAGGAGACGGGACATGTATCCCTGGTAGTCTAGCAAGGAAAGGCCCCTGGTGCTGCTGGTGGTCTGACTGACAGGGAGGCTGGGTGCTGGAGGGATGAAGGTGGCGTCTTCATCACTGCTGCCTATTCTGCTCAGGCCTCTGCTGCTCGGGACGTTAGCTTGGGCAGAAACGCTGTGTGCCAACGCTGGGTCACCTGGGAGAGTACAGTCAAAGTCAAAAGTCAACTTTATTGTCAATTGTTCAGTTTGTGTGTACAGACAGAGAGATCAAAATACCGTTTCCCACAATCCCGAATACAAATGTATATAAAAATATGTATATGCCTATATATATATATATATATATATATATATACACAATCAACGGACACATTGATACATATGGACACATTAAGACATAAATAAAAGCACAACAAATCAATATATACAAAATAACAGTCACTTCCATATCTTTTGGCAGCATTTAGAAGTAATTACCTTTTGGTTATCATTCACAAAGAACATATAATTGTATCGGTACGACAAGTCAAGTGAGGCGTTCCAGTTTCCCTTTTTCACTAAAGAATTCAAAGCTACATTTCACATCAGTCTTAACGTTTTTCTTTCATAGGCTTTTAATTTGACAGTTTAAGATTTTATCAAAACAATATTTCCGATGTAATGAAAAATGTGTGCTTTGGAAATTATACAAAATGTTCCGACCCAGGCTAGCTGCCTCCCCGTATCTCCAGTATTAATGCTAAACTAATGTAAACTAATCCAGCTTCTACTCAAAACGAGAAAAATTAGATTTGTATAGATCATCTCATCTGACGCTTTGCAAAATAATATTTCCCAGAATTTAAAACTATTCTTTGAAATTACTAAATTATATATTCCCCTTTAGTCATTTTTCATCAAAATAATACAATACAATAAAACTAAAGTTGTTGTTCTTGATACCTTTGCCCTGTCATGTCAACAACAACAACTCACAGATATGTATGTTCCCTCAAAAGGGATTGGGTTTAAAATGCAAAGAATTGGAGCATGTAATCCATAATCCACACATATGAAGCATTTGTATAGATGCCTTATCTGGAAGCCCTCTCTTATCTAACGCATTATTTTCTCATACCCAATCTGGACTCACATCTGCCGGGCTCTCTCTCCTTTTCCCTCTCTGGATCCGTGGACGCTAGCAGGAAGTGACGAAACCACTCTTCTTTCTCTCTTCCTGTGCGTCCGAAGAGGTAAAGGGTCCTGGGAATGGATCTTTGTTGAGGACTTCCAGGTTCTGGTCCCTCTTCCCGACTCTCCTCCCATCCAGAGTTCGCTCCGGCGGCCAGTTGGATGCAGATGGGATACTTTGGGTTCCACGTCCTCTTCCGAGCCAGAACAGATGGCAGCAGGAATACCTTTGAGGATCAGTGGCAGAGATTTGTTGTGTCAAAGCAAAGACATACTGTATGTAGGAGACAACAAGCTTTTGAGCCTGAGTTTAATATTTGTTTACATTTGTATTTGTTGAGCACTACCTGCAATTGTCACATGGTTGTTTTGGTATTTAGGTCACCTGTTGCATGCTGGGGGTGAGATGATGGAGGGTGAGCTTACCTTAGTTATCGTGTGATTCATTTAGTTTATTTAACATCCTTAACCTTTCAACTTCAGTATGGACTTTCTTGTTGTAAACACGTCACAGTCTAAAGCCAAGTTTAGCGTCTTGGCGACTCAATTTAGTCGGATATTGAGCCACCACAACATCTGTTAAACGGGCAATGCACTCAGATATCCCATTTTTGAATTATTAATACATTCTAGTTAATCAACGAATCAGAAGTACATTCGACTGTTTCTTGCCTAACCTTATGGCCTCTGCAAAAGAGTTTAGTTTGTTGGTCTTTCATCAGGTTTACGGAGAAACTACTGGCCTGATTTCCGTGAAACTTGGTGGAAGCGTGAAGCATTGGCCAAAGACGAAACCATTACATTTAGGAGGGGGGTGCAAATTGCAGGGGCAGATACATGCATTATTTTTTACTTATTCACTTATTTTCTCTCAGGCCTTACAAGCTATTTCAGACAGTTAAAATAAACATCACTCCAACATCCCAGCATTAATTAGTCAAAATCGTATGCATGCATTCATTTGGTGAATGTTACATAAAGTTAGACTGACTTTACTTTAGTCCTGACCTACATAACAGAACATCATATTTCACTGCACTTTTTATATCTCATTTAGGGGGGAAAACCAACGTCGGACACAAAACAAATGTTCCTATAACACAGTAAATGTGTCACTTTACCTACCTTTATATTGTTTTATTCATTTTATAGGTCTTAATCTTTTTATTTCTCTTGTACCTATATGTTCACTTTGTGTTATGGGATTTAATATTGGTGCATCGACTCAGTTGTCTTGTGTCTTATCTGTCAGAGAGAAACCATTATTTATTTTATTTTTATTTTCATACATTTTACCTCCTTGTGTCTATTAACCTGATAGAATGTTATATTTTGCTGCATGAACGTTTTAAAGTTCTTAACAAATAATCTGAGGGCAATTTCTTGTTGTTTGTTTTTAACTTGTGATGTGTCATTTTGTAAAGCACTTTGAGCTGCATGTGCTATATAAATAACCCTGTATTGTTATTATTATTATTATTATTATCATACTTTGCTTTTTGCGAGCTGGAAGGAGCGTGACTTGACGAAGGCGGCCTCCTGGACCCTCTCATCGTACGCGGCCCTGCGGCTGATGTTGTTTCGCGGAGAGTCCAGACGGAGAGAGGAGCCCTCCAGGAAGGAAAACACCGAATGAGTCAGAGCTGGATGGAAGGTTTCTGGGTCGTAATCATGTATTTCATTCATCCAGCCCTACAAAGGCAGGAAATAGGTGTTAGTTATAATCAACACAATGAAGAGGTTTCAAGTGAGTAATAATCAAACACTTTGGAATTGAACCAATCTAGAAGAAGCCATGTTGTGATGATTGTAGTAAGGCTAAAAATGAAGTATACAGCAAATCTGAATGTAAACCTAATCCAAGTATTCAAGTAAATCATCCCGGGGATTTCAACATTGCTATTTTTAAAGTAAACAAACTATAAGAGAGGCATTAGAGGATTATTCATCCATAGAGCTAGAGAGAATTTGTGATACAAATATGTTTTTGTTTCAGCCTTCCAGGCAATATGTCTTCTCTTGCTTTTAACAAACTCTAGGAATCCTGCAGACAAGACTCTTTTTATTTTTATGCAAATAAACATCAGGATTTGTTGGTAATGAGCTGAAGAAATGCTGGTAGGTGTATTTTGGATCTTCAGACTCTGTTTTCAGTCTTCAGGCAAAGTCAACTGTCTCCTGGCTTAAGCTAAATAATATGAGTAGCGTACAAACCTAGGGTACAAATATGAGCTTTCATCTTCTTGTTTAAACCTCAGCACAAAACAAATTGACTTCAATTCCAATCCTTTACACAAAACTCCATACATTTTATAGACATAAAAGCATAGTTAGTGTGTGTTGGGCTTAAAAATTCTTCATTAATATGACGCCTCAAGATAAAACTTTTTTCAGCCTGAAATACGGTGTATAGGATCGCTGCATGTGTGGTGAATTCTACCATCTCTTTAGGAGCTTCCTTTTAATGCTCTAATAATTAACTAATAAACCATGTATTGTTTAAGGCTAAACAGTTCCTTTATAAATAGCCTTTACCCTTGTCTCAAATTGTGCCAATCAAACACTGTGACAGTTCTGAGTCTGCCGCCTGATTAGCAGACACCTCACAAACCTTAGGGCTCGGACGTTCACATGCCAACAGCAGCAGTCAGACTCAACAAGCTGCTAATGACCAAACAAGGGAAATATCTCATCACGGAGACATTTAACTTCCCATTTCCAACCATCACCACAACTCTTCACCCCCAATCTGCCTCACGCCCTGACAAATTACAGCTTCCCCCCCCCTGGATCCCACACTAATTGCCTCTGGATCTGACAGTGTCTGGTTGCTAACTGTCCCCTTCAGTGTCAAGCTCAGCCAGGGGGAGAACAGCAATTACCACTGCAGCTCAGCCGGTTTTTATAGTAAAGGTTTTAATTGCATTCTGGGCATCTTTTCTGGTTGCCTGCCACCTTCAACAGCTTTACTCTGTGTCTGTAGAAGGTGTTGAAGTGTGAAGCCATCTTAACACTTTCCTTTTGAACAAATTGGTAGGAAATAAAACAAGTTATTTAGTAAGTGTATTTGAAGTAAACAAGCTATTTAAATCCCTTCACTTTCAAAAAAGACTCTTTCACACATAGTTCTAAGTAAATTAATAGAATTACTGGTAGTGATTTTTACTATTAACACATACACTGCATGTAGGAACATTTCCATCCTGTGCCTTTTCACATATGCCATTGCATAGGAGGGCGAAAACACAGTCCAGTAATGGCAGTAATGCAACACCTACGGAGGCCAGTCACTGTAAAACTCAATAAACGAAGGCAAGATGTACCTGAATTAATATTTTCAGAAACATTACCGGCGAGGATATATTTTTGTCTGGTGCCAAAGTTGATGTAATGTCAATAATATTCAACAAATTTGAAAATAAATGGGAAAACATTGCTGTGAACAAGTCATAGATTCAAATGTGTAAATTCAGCGCCGTCTCATGATTCGTTCAGTTGCTCAATGTGAAAGCGTCTTCCGTCAGATAGACTTAACCCTGAAGTGCTTGTGTTTTGAAATAAACTGGCAGCTCAGATTTCCCTTAATATCGATCTCTGCTGCCATTCACTCATGAATCCATGTAGGAAATATTCCCAAACAGAAAATGGACCGCTTGGATATGGAAACAGACTTATGTTTGTTGTTGTTTGTTGTTTGTAAGCTAAGCTAACTGGCTGTAGCTTCATACTAAAACGACAGACATGAGTGATATCAATTTCCTTGGCAAGAAAGTGAAATAATAATCATTCCCGAAATGCCTACTATTCCTTTAAGAGACAAGGGCTAGGTGGGAGAAAGATGAGAAATTCAATGAATGATGATTGTCTGTTATCTATAGAAGACATGCTGAGGAATGTGTCAGTTTTAGATTGAGACCCAGGGGCCTGAGTATAAGGTGAGAATACAAAATGTAACACTCATCAATGCCTCAGATTTACCTTCAGGGTGTCAGGTTCAGAGCTGACGTTGCCACCTGTCAGGATCTCCTCTCCCAGCAGAGTCTGTGTTGGTCTGTACGAAGGATCCGAGCAGCGTGACCTGGGCGAACCCATCCTAATGAGCAACAGTCCCAGCAAGAAGCCCAAAGCTAATCCCAGAGCCAGGCCAGAGACGTAGGGACTGAGAGGCAGGATGAAGTATCCATAGGAGAGCAATGCAACGCCGAACAAAGTCATGCGTGGAAGAGGATGGGGCTGAGAAAGAGAAGAAGTCCTAACCATGGGTGGTTCATTGGTAGGTGATCTCCTCGCCTGCCTATGAGACTCCACGGCTAACACTTGCATCACGTCTCCATCTGTACATATTTCCAGCTCCTCATCCCTTTGATGTTGTCTGTTGTGATGCAAAGGGCAGGAGATATGGTGGATTCTCCCAGGAGATTGAACAGAAGGCCAGTCAAACACCGGCAACACGTCAGCGTCTGTTCTCTTAGTGTTCCTCACAGGAGATTCGGAGAGATTTGTGTCAGTGCTACCTTCATGCCCTAAACTTCTGGCGCTGACCTGCTGAGCCCCCTGGCTTTTAGTCTGGTGTTTGGGACTACTCGCGCTATCTTCTCTCATGATCTTACTGAACATGTTGCTCAGAGGCTCGTGCACGGCCTCCGAGAGTTTCCTCTTGGTGTCCTCCAACTCCATTTTGAAGAAACCCCCTCGCCCCTCTCCACTTGGGGAGTGGGCGCATGGAGACGGCGGCGCAGTGCGAGAGTCGCCATCGCTTCGGGTTTTTGGTTTTTGGGTGAGCTGCTTCCACAGATGGAGGTTCAAGCGGGAGTCTGATTTTGACTGCGACACCGCCGGCTCTGAGCGGGAGATCTCGGTGGATATCGACTTCACGAGGCTGAGAAAGGGTTTCGGTCTGAGAGTGGCACCTTCTTTGATATCCAGCTCCGTCGAGAGAGACTTTGAGAGGGGTCTGTGGCTGGGAGAGGAAACGGTTGGGGAAAGGAAGCTGGAACCGGTGGTGGAGAGGTTTCCCAGAGAGCCAGGAGAAGAGGGGGAAAGTGGAACGTGGAACGCTTGGGAATGCAGCTTTCTGTCATCCTCCACAGAAAGCTGCCTTACTTTGGATAGAGATATGGAGGGGTAGTCGTCTTCGTGTTCGAGGGAGAAGATGAGCTCACTGTCGTCCAGACTGTCCCATTCTCCCTCTGTCCCGGTGAGCTGGATCACAATCCCTCGAGGAAGATGCCTCTTGGTCCCTGGGGATTGTCCACGAATCGGGTTTGAGGAAGATTGAGTTAGTCCGCCTCTTCCTCTTCCTTCATCCTCACTTCTTCTGTCCCCATTAGTTTTATTCTCAGCCATCTCTTGACTTTACATCGCACAGCCAAGGCACCTTGAGTGAAATAGAACAAACAAACAAACGCAGTCAGCTACATTATTAAGCCTCAAAGGCAGAACAAATGAAAGCAGAAAGGGATGGAGACATGGGGAGAGAGGAAGGGCTTCTTTTCTGGGCTTGTGCATCATTATCACAGCTTGCCAGTGCCAGCTCCGCATCAATGGGTGAATGTTGTGTAGTTCTACATTAATCTGATTACTAGTCAGGGAATCAGATCCAAGTAAGCATATCTCCCATAGCTGTCGCTCCACATATTGAATGGGCTTTAGAGGCAAGCAAAAATAGACAAGGCAGTCTGTCTCCCCCAAATGTTACGCAAGCTAGGGCAGCTCAGGCTCGGATTTAGAGTCTTTCGGGGCTGATTGGATGTAGAATTCATTCAATTTATGTGCTTTCTGTGCAAATGAACATGAAATGAAAAAGCATAGTTTGAGTAAAGGCCCAGCCTTCCGGTGTGAAACAAAGAGATTTCATTCAGGCTTTGTCAAAATGCTAACTCCACATGGAAACGTAATGTTTTCATGATGATAAAAGGCATTACCAGACTCTCTCTGAAGCACGCCAACTCCCAAAAGTAGCAACTACAATGTCTTCAAGTCTCCCTCACTACAAAGCTGTCAGCCGAGTCACAAGCCTCTGGTTTCATCTCAAGCTGTTTGAAGAGTTACTTATGTAAGCCTGAAATGTTTCGTATGACTAAATAAAGAACCTTAAACCTTGAAATGAAAAGTGAGGGGAGTCAAAATATGCCTTCTCATCCGCCATGTGTGCTTGTTGTGTGTCTGCAGTAGTGAAACATTATCCAGCCACCAACAACTGACAAAACCAGCAGAGCAAAGAGGTAGTGTATGCTATTATATATCATTTTGTTGGAGAAAATAGAAGCTCTGCATCACTGGACACAGGCAGTGAAACGGCACAAAGGCCCGCTGGGGACCCTTTTTGATTTGCTGTCTCTCTGGGTCAAGTGCCCTGCTCTTTGTGCAAGTTAAACCCTGCCTCTGACTGGTTGCATTTATGTAACTGTATTACAGCGCTGTGTGGCACTATTTCAACCAATTCCACAGCAGCTGTTGGATTTCTGACTAATCTGCTCCCACCAAAAATGGACGGTGGGGGAGATAAACCTCACAGACACTCATTCAGCCAGGAGGCATTAGACCTTCCGAGCAATTGGACCTGCAATTTGTTGAACACATGTGCATGAACTCACACTAGGCTAAACCACTGTTAAGCTAACATTGTTTTGTCCAGGCTAATTGTTGAATACTAAGAGGACTGGACAATGTTGCCCTTTTGTCAAGCTACTTTTGAAGCTGCTCTTCTGTATATGGATGTATTTTTTTTCTTTTCTAAATGTTCATATATCAATTTAATACAACTACAAGTCACCTGTTATGAATAACCTAATTGTAACAGGATATGAACGTAATCTTCTCTCATAGTGAAAGGGCAATATCAACAAGTTACATTTTTTATTTTGGCATTAGCCTACGTGTTTGAATATCCATGAAAAGTGCTTTAAAATAAAACAAGTTGGTTTCTCTGTGAGGCTCTACTAAATGCTAACGGCAGTATGCAAGCATGCTCAGGGGTACAATGTAAACAGTCTGGTGTTCGTCTAATACAGGGGTTCCCAAACTTTTCAGCCCTCGACCCCCAAAATAACAGTGCCAGAGACTGGCGACCCCCTGTTGACGGGGACGGGGACGGGTGCTAGTGAATTAATTTCAGTTTCAGAACAACACTGCGCTAGTGGATTGTCAAAGGGGGAGCCTCGTTGCGGGGAAATTATACAGATGGCTAGTCCGCCCCTGAAAATGTCTATGCAAACGTTATTATTATTAATTTAAAAAAAAATGTAATTATAAAAAGAATTAATCAATTTTTTTTAATTTAATTTTCCATTTTTTAATCTGTTCACGTTAGCATGTTTGTGAGCTAGCTTGCTAACGTTTGCTAATTAGCACTTAGCACCAAGTAAAACTGAGGCTGATGATGTTGTCATTAGTTTTTGCTAATATTCAAGAGAAAGGGAATAATGTTTTTCAATGGGATCACTATGTTATTGCAACTCATCGGTGGTAGAACTCATCTCTTTTTCTCTAAATTATAGAGCTTGGATCTCAGAAAAAAAAAGTAATAATAATAATATGTTTTTGTTCTCGTGGATGTAGGAACATTCTCCCTCACCCAGCTGCATGTTATTTCATTTCTTCGTTTTCCCACAATGTGCTTAACACACCTTCAAATGTGTTGTAAGAATTCAGCTGTGACAGCCCCAGAGGCCACAGACAGCTGAGTGAAACTTAGAAAAAGGACAACCAAAGAAAGGTAGGAACAGAATGAAGAGTGGGGGAATGTGCTTCTGGAAATATTCGACATGCACTAGTCTGTAACCTTTTTGAGCTTTAACTTGTGGGAGGTCATTTCAGGCGTGTGATGTTTGATGATAAACCCTAACGTAAGAGCTGTGAACTTCTCCATTAGGGTGCGTGTAAAAGACAAAGTGATCATGTGACTGTAGCACGACACACATCACACATCTGCTCTGAGTGAGTGTGTTCGATCAATCCTTCACATTGACAGCATCAGTGTGTGTGTGTGTGTGTACGACGATCTAGTGTGTGTGTGTGTGTGTGTGTGTGTGTGTGTGTGTGTGTGTGTGTGTGTGTGTGTGTGTGCCACCCTCTGATCAAACACGAAGAGTAACAATCTCAGATTAACTTTAATTCCAGGAGTTTAACTGTGAAATCTGACAAATCACACAGCCGGATTACGGGCTAAACCCACCCCTCATTTGGCGGGGTGTGTTTCCAAGCAAGCTCATCTCCATGGCCCAGTGTTGATTGTAGTTATTAGTAACATCAAAATCCCTCAGAGCCCCTTGCTATCAGTGCTCGTATTCACACACTTAAAGTCAGATGCAGATGTTTCTTTTGAGGG